GCCTGGCACGGGCTGGGGGTCAGAGCTTGCTTGTTCGACGCAGAAGCGGCTTCCCTGACTTGCTGAGAAACACGGGGTGCTCAGCAGTGTTATCTGATGTCGAGCAAGCTCCTGTCTTCATTTCTACCTGGAGACAGGTTCCAGAAAGGCCCGCCTTTTCCGTCCCCACGGCAGCCACTTAGCTGCAGGTTTTGCATAAGGAGATTCCCGAGTGTTAGCTAATGCTAGTGGGCAAAGGTCCCGGCAGAAGCTGGGACACTCTGCAGGACACCCCTGAAAATCTGTGGGATTTCTCTCAGGTGCCTTTAGACCAAAGCTCCCAAAGCATCCTGGATCGCCCCAAACAAGGCCTCTGTTTTCTGGGCAAACGCCAACTGAGAAGTGGTGATCTTATAATGAGAGGTGACGGTGTTCAGAAATCAGAGGTGGGGAGAGAAAACGCCGCCCAGGCTGGAAATGGGAACTGGCCCCGTGCTTCCGTCCCAGCAGGGCGGTCTTCCTCTTAGGACCTGTCAGCAGAAATCACGGATGCAACGAATGGACGAGGACTGGGCAAACGTGTGTCTCGGGCAAGACACAGAACGTTATGATAAACATGTCTGAGGGAAGTTAGTCTCAGGGCTGTAAACTGAAATGTCTTGAAGGGCCCGGCAAGACATAAACAATATTTAATGTTGCGGCCTGTGACTCAAAGGCAACAACAACAAAAAAGACAAAACCAAACCAAACCAACCAAACCAAAATGCGAACTCAAACACACCTGCAGAGTTAGTTGCCCGTGAGTCCCCGCTCCTTCATTTCACAGAGCAGAACATTGGGGCTGAGTGAGTGCAAGGGGCGCGGCCCCCATCAGCTGGCTAACTAAACGGGTCTCTCCTTCTTGCATTCCTTTTAAAAAAATATTTTTATATGTTTTTATCGATTTCAGGGAAAGGAAGGGAGAGGGAGAGAGAGAAACACCAATGATGAAAGAGAATCATCGATCGGTTTATCATCACTAAACACGGCCATGCCAAGATCCACGCCCACTGTATCCTGTTGCCTCTACTTTTATTGGGGACTTAGGGGCATTTTCTGCTGACAGATCATTTTCCTTAAATAAGGTCAAGTGGACTCAATTTCCCAGACTTACAGGACACTGCTCACGATTCTCCTTCCTAGAACAGGTGTGAGACCAACATCAGCCTGAGCAGGACTTGCAAAGGTTCTGTGTGTATTTGCGGGGGGAGGGGGAGGGAGACTCAGCTGTCCAAATAAGCTCAAACCAGTGGCTTTGCTGAAACCAGTGGTAGTTAGACAGGGTTTATTAGCTCCTGTGTTACTGGGTTCATAAAGGTTACTTTTAAAAAATATATATATTTATTGATTTTAGAGAGGAAGGGAGAGGGAGAAAGAGAGGGAAACATCAATGATGAGAGAGAATCCCTGACTGGCTGCCTTCTGCATGCCCCACACTGAGGATCGAGCCCGCAACCCAGGCGTGTGCCTTGAGCGGAACCGAACCGTGACTTCCTGGTTCAGAGGTTGATGCTCAACCACTGAGCCACTTTAAAAAGAAATTTCCTCTTTGAAAGGGCAGATGCGTCAACCAATGGGGCTAAATGTGATGTTATCACATATAAGCGCTTTGCAAAGAGTTAAGACACTGAGGTTCTATCCTGGCTTTGTCAATCCTGTGCTGTGTGACTTCCAGCCAGTAACATACCTTTTCCGGGCCTCAGTTTCTCCACCTGTAAAATGGGGCTGATGGACAAGAGCTGAGGGCATTACAGTGTCCTGGAGAAGTCTCATTAACAACATGGAAACTTCAATCTCCCCTGCAGACGCTGAGTCGTTCGATGGGGGTGGGGTCTCTCTTCTTCTAACCAGGACCTTGTGGAGTCTGATGCTGAGGGTCCCCTGGCTGTTGTAGCGCATGTGCTAGACCAGATGACGACTTGCTGCTATCATATATCAGAATGAGAAGAATGGTTGCATCTACCATCACCGCAGCCTTCGTATTGTTAACCACACAAACCCAACTGACCCTCAGTGGCAAGCATGCCCCTTGGTTCACAATGAAAACGGGTCCTGGAACACCAAACTCAACTTTCTAACAGGAAAAAGCGCCAGTTCTAAAGGGTACAGATGTTGCCTGTGGCTCTCAACTGCGATCCAAGACTCAGACCCACAGAAACTGAGTGAAGGCAGCACATGGAGTCTTGTCCTAAGACACCCCAAGGCATACTCTCCAAAAGGCAGCACAGCCACACCTATGCGTGCTCATAACACCCAGGTGAACCGACACTCAATCTTCCTGCATCCTTGAACATCAGAATCTGCAAGGAAATGTTTTGACAGCTGTCTGGGTGGTACCTTGGACAGCGCCTCTCAGTTCAGCTCCAGAGACCCTCGGAAAGCAGCCTACCGCACCGTCCACTCCTAGCCTCTCACCTTTCCCAGGGGTGCTCCTTCCCTAATGAAAAATTCAAACTGGGGGGGTGGGGGGTTGCTTTGGCCATGTGAGGAAGATGAAGAAGAGGCAGGAAGAGCAAAGGGCAGGCTAGTCTGGAAACCATATCCACACTATTGGCCCCAAATGGTTGCTACAGAAGGCTTCTTCTGGGATTTCCTATTTTGTACAACCACCAATCTTGGCATAAAGCTATTGTTTCAAGAACAACTTATCACAAAATCTTCAAAACAACCCCTGGTGGGCGTTATTGTTCCCATTTTGCAGATAATGGAACTGAGGCTCAGAGAGGTTAAGTAACCAGCGGAGGCCACACAGCCATGCAGTGAGCTAAGGCTGGTTTCAAACAGAGATCCTTACCGGATCTCTTTACTGTGCTGCTTGCTCTTTCTCTACAAGGTCTGGGACTCTGAGGGAAATCACAATTTCTGGAGACAAAGTCCGCCCCTGATTTTGGGGGAGCCTCTGGCTGAACAGATGTATCAGGAAATGAGGCTGTGGTTGCTATGGGAGGAGCACACATAAACATCTTACATGCTCAGGGAGGTGTACACAATTCCCCAAATAGGAAGCCCTAAACCAGGACGGAGGTCTCCGGCTGTGCCACTTACCAGGAAGGTGACTGTGGGCAGGCTGCTTGGCTTGCCCAGCCTCAGTTTTCATATCTGCAAAATGGGATTCAGAACACTGTGAACCTGGGGGGAGTATTCCTGAGGATGTTCCAGGAATACCTTGCATGTGGCAGGGCCTTGGAGGTGGCACAAAGCTGTGCATCCTTCGGGCTTCTGAAACTGAGGCTGGTAGAAAGGACGGGGGTGGGGGTGGCGGACAAGGAGGGTCAGAACGGCTCCCTTCAGAGACCTGCCAAGGCTTCTCAAATCTGTCTGCTGAGGCGCCTGAGGGCAGAGGAGAATGGATGCCGCTCCCATAGGCTGGGCAGGAGGCTTCTACCCTGTTTTATCCAAGTTCTAAATAACAATGGGGAGAGTCAACGCTACTCTGCTTTGTGAACCCCTAGTGCTTGCCAAGCCCTATTAGAGTCTTTCCTTCCTTTCCCTCCCTCCTGGGCCATCAAGGAGGCCAGACAACGTGCCTGCGCCCACTGACCAGCCCTGCACCTCTGCCTGGGGACGCCCTAGGGCCTGGCTTCTGTGGTTCCTGCTTGTGCATTCTTCAGGGGCCTGAGCGGGGCTGTAAGGGTTTCATCTGCGAGAAAGAAACTATGCTCATCCCCGGGCCGCCTGGGCACCACGGGAGGCGAGTACAGCCTGCTGTCGCCTGGGGACGGCCCCCCGTTTCTTTGGGCAGGAAACCACTGACCATCAGATCTCCTGGATCTGGATTTTAAAATAATAAAACACCAGCAGTTTCCTGTGAATTGAGCACTCACCCTAGGCTTCACTTTCACATCCATAAGCGCAATGAGGATGCTCCCAACAGCGCCGCGATCAAGGTGTTCACTGTTGCCCCATTTCACAGACAGAGAGTGCTGGCTGGGGAGGCGAAGGGACTCGCCTGAGACCACACAAGCACAGGGCACCTCTAGGGTCAGACTCAGGGGCGGCCGTCCGAAGCTTCCTGCCCTAGCCCTCCTGCCTTCCCCTGGAGCTCGCCTCCGAACACTGGGTGCCCCCCGCCCCCTCCCGTACCGCACGGAGAACCTCCGCGCACCCGTCACAGTGCCCTGGGGGCGGGGCAAAGGTTTGCAGTCTCTAGGGGGCTCGGTCTGGGGAGCCTCCTGCGACCCTCAGACCCAAGGCCCCCACCCGTTCCTGGAATTTGGATCCCGCAGGGACCCTGCTCCAACCCTTGGCCACCGGGAAGCGAACACATCGCGCGCAGTGCACACTGTCCGGCTTCTAATCCCGGAGGAGCGCACCCCTCGCCCGTCAGGGAGGCGCACGGGGAGCCCAGAGCTTCTTTCCAGCCGGAAGCACAACTTTCCCGGGTCCTGGGAAGCCGCGCTCCGACACCCCAGTCCCGCCCGGACAGAAGGAAGGGGTGCGGGCGGCCCTGCCATCACTGCGGCGCGCACGGAGGATCCTCTCAAAGTTGGAAGCTAGGCAGGAGCGACGTTCCCAGGAGCAGAGCCCGCCCAGCCTCGGCCCCCCACCGAGGGCGGCTGGCGATGCTAACGAGGCCGCCATTACCGGGCTCGCAGGTGCCGTGCCTCCGAGGAGCCGGGCGTGAAGGAGAGCTGAAAGTTCAGGCTGGGCAGGTGCCCAGGCGCCAGGGCTGGCGTCCCCGGCCCCGGCTGCCCGCCGTGGGGAGCCAGCGGTGCCAAGGTTCCGCCATTAACGTCGGCGCACGGCTCCGAGCCGAGCGCGCGGTTGGAGGGAGACGGGGACCCCGCAAAGTTGGAGCAGGGGGGGCGTGAGGACCCCCGGACCAGAGCCCCCGGCCCGGGGGGGGGGGCCCGCGGGGAGGGAACGAGGCTGCCCGAGCCAAGTTGGGACGCGGCAGACCCCGCGCCTCCCGCGCGCACCGGGGGCTCCCGGGGAGCAGGTGCCAGAGGGACCGGGAGGGGGGAGCCGGGCCGAGGACTCACCTGCCGCCGGGCCGGGCAGCACGGAGGCCGCCTCTTCGGGCTGCGCACCCGCCTGCCCGCGGGTCGGCGCGCCAGCCGCCGCTCCTCCTTCCCCTCCGGCTGCTCTGCCTCCGGGTCCGAAGCCTCGTCCCCCGCCCTGCGCGGCCGGAGGACGCCAGTCGCACCCACTCGCGCCCGGTAGGAGCTGCGCGCGTCCTTCCCCCGTCTGCTCCGCTTTGTTTCCCCGATCCCTCCCCACCCCCTCTGGCCTAGCCCCCACCCCTCCCTCCCCTCCGCTCCCCTCCCCTCCCTCCGCCCCAGCGATCCCAAGTTCGGGACGGAGGCTGCGGGTCCCCCTCGCAGTGACGGGCGCCCTGCGCGCGCCCCTGGCTCACCCGGTCCGGACGCCCGGCCGCCCCTCGGAGGAGCCGCGGCTTGGAGATGCCACACAGCTAAGTAGCTCCTGGCCCGGCGGCTGGCAGCGTGGCACAGACATGTAGGGACTGAGCCACGCGCTCAGTGAGGGTCCTGAGGGGGAATTTATTTCTTAATGTCCCTCCTTTATCCTATCATCGCTGAAACGAATTAGCGGTGACGTCCAACCCGGCTGGTTTATGGGTGTGGGGAGGGAGACGTCGCAACCCTCATTAAAAGAGCCGCTCTGGGCTCCAAAGCATACATCTTTTATATAACCTAATTTCCATTTTTTTCTATCAGGAAACACACACACACACACACACACACACACACACACACACACACACACACGCCAGGGCAATTTCTGGGAGCCTGGAGGGGGCTGAATCTAGTAGCCACAAGGGCAGTTCTCTGAGGCAGAGAGGACCAGACTGGAGGCAGGGAGGGTTATTTCTGTTTCTACATCAGCGTTAGGATAACATTCCTTAATGGGACAGTGGGGTGCACAGCCTCTCCGGCTGGGTAGGGCTGGGGGCCCCCAGGAGTCCCCAGGAGATTGCTGCCGGAGTTCTGGCCCTGGCTCCTGGTGGGCAGACAGGAAGACTGGCAGCCAGGACTGGTCTTCCCGGGAGCAGGACTTAGGCCGGGCAGCTGGGGAGGCGGCAGGGCAGGGACAGGCTCACCTGTGGCCTGGTGCACCTGCAGGTGGGTTAAGGCGGAGGGCTGGGCTGGGGGAGGGGAAGACGCAGAGAACCGAGCTCTCCTTCCTTTCTTAGGGACCCTAACATATGGGTAACCATATAAACCCTTTTCAAAGCTGTCTTTTCCTGGGCAGATTGCACAGAATTTTGCATTTCACTGTTGCGGCTGCTCACACACTCTTGGGGAAGTGGGGGAAATCCAGCCAAGGGGAGAATGCAGACACACACACTCAGCATGTGGCTCGGGGTGGCTGGACCCTGCCCCCTCCCCAGCCTCACCCGGCGGAGCCAGCCCACTCAGGCTGGGAGCTGTGCAGAGAGGGAAAGAGGAAACACCAGCCCCCTTTGTCACTAATAAATGCTTTTCACGCTGTCTTGCACATCGAGCCTGAGAGAAGGGGTGTGACTTTGGGGGCAGGAGGAGGGTGTGGGGGATGAGCAGGGGAGGAGGGGATAAAGAGTAAGCTGGCAGCGGTGCATGGAGGTCTGTGTTGGCTTCAGCACGCTGGGAGGAAGACGTGAGACATTCCCTCTTGGCCTCGGGGCCATGCCACTTCCTGACTGTGCCCCACAGGGCAAGTTCCGGAGCCTCAGTGTCCCCAGCGGCGAAATGGGCCTGGGTTCGTGGTGAAGATGCACGCAGTAAGATGGCAGTGGTGAAGCAGTGGGAAGAGTGCCGGGCGGATAGTAAATGCTCAGTAAACAGGAGCCAAGAATAACAGTAACAACGATGAGAATAAGAACAGTGACATCAAGGCTGGATGGGGCATCCCAGGGAAGCCGGGCTGAAGCCGAGTCCTTCCCGCCGGAGCCCCACTTCCCCTGCCGGCGTCATTTCAAAGTTGAGTGCTGGGCTTCAGTGGTGTCAGACTCAGAACACTGCTCCCCTTAATTACCATGGCAACTGGGGAAAATCAGGAAGCCAGGGGGAAGGGAAGCTGCTCTTCCACTGGGCTGGTGGTTCACCTGCTCAGAACGGGGACCATGCCTGCAGGGGTTCAGGTGGGGCCAGCAGAGGCCCGAGCTGGGGACACCTGTTTTGAAATTGGGGAGAAGGGTGGTTGGGACACAATGGGCAGCTACGAGATGGTGGGGTCAGGGCCAAGGCTGGGCTGGGCCTGAAAAAGGCAGAGTTGGCCTGGATTCAGGGAGGAGGGGGCAGACACCCCATGCCCCGAATTCTGTCCTCACTGTCAGCGGCCCTGGTGCAATTGAGAGCAAAGCACCAGCAGGTCATACAGCTCTTGAAGCAGATTTGGAAAGACAGGCTTTCCAGCTAAGGTGGGAGCTGGTCATCGCAAGGGTGTGTGTGTGTGTGTGTGTGTGTGTGTGTGTGTGTGTAGGGGGCGGGGGGGGGAGACTCCCTCACTCTGGTTATTTCTGTGGGGCTAGGGGACTCGTAACAAAACCAGTTTAGCAGTAGAAGAAAGCTGAGCTTGTGTGAGCACTTAGTATTTCACTAGCCTGGAACCAAGCATTTTATAGGAACATCTCATTGACTCATCATAAACATCGCAAGTGATGATTCCTTTTCTTGTTCCCATTTTACAGAGGGGAATGCGGAGGCTCTGAGAGGTGGTGACTTGCTCCAGGTCACCCAGTGAATTGCTGGTAAAGGAACTATTAGGGCTCTGGTCCTACTGACCCCAAATCGGGCCTCCTCCCGCCTCCCCACCACCACCTTGTGAAGACGGGGGAGTGGCGATTCAGAGCTGTCTTTGGGGTGGCAGGGGAGTGTCTGGCTTTTGGGCCATGACCCTAGAGGGCTTCAACAACTGGCGCTGAAAGACCAGGGACTCGCAGCCGTATGGTGGCCCTTGGACCAGGCAGAGTGACAGTGTCCCAAAAGCTCCTGGGTGTGGGGGCTCTTTAAGTCTTTCCCCTGGGCATTCACTCCAACCTGCCTCCACCAGGACCCATCTTCAGAGGAAGATGTTGATAATATTACCCTCTCCCAGGTTCAGGAAGCAGAGACACATTCAGAGCTCAGCTCGGAGCAAGCTCTCCCTGAATGGTCACCATGATAACAATGATTCTTGGATCTCCTCTCGGGCTCGTGGCCTCCGTCCGCGTGGATGGCAGGTGGATAAAAGGCCTCTCCCAACTGAAGAAAGGCTCCCCCTCCCCCCACTCCTTGCCACCTAGACCTTAACCAGTCCCACCCAGCAGCACAGAGGTGGCCCCTGGGGGGGGGGGGCAAGGGGAGGAGGGGGAAGAAGGTTTGTCGGTGCGGCTGCCACCGAGGGGGTAATACATTATCCAGGGCTAATGAAAACATAATTATCTTCTTTTGGCTGCAGAGAAGGGCTAATTTAATAGGCTGCGATCGAAAAGCATCTGCTGAATTCACCCAGCAGTGAAAACACTTGAAGGCCTTGAGTGGCAGGGGTAGCGGGCACACTGTGGCTGGCCGTGTCCTGCAGCTGTATCAAGGTGGCAGCTGCCCCCGGGGAGGGGGCGATGGGGGTGCAGGGCAGAAGCGGCAGGGGGGTGCGGCAGCTGGCAGGTGTCCTATGAGCAGACAGACTGGACTACTTTCCTGCTATGTGATCTCGGTCCACTTCTTTGCTTCTCTGAGCCTCAGCTATCTCATCTGTAAAATGGGATGTATCCTCCCTCCCTCCCATTGTCTGGGAAGAACAGATGAGAAATGTGAGCGGTGTTCTGGGACTTTCTTAGTATTTAGCAAAGCTCTCCCCTCTGACGCATTGCTGGGCCAGTTCTACTGGGAGGTCTTAGCGTAGACATCCCCTCTTTGGAGAGGCCCCCGTTCTGAGCCCCCACAGCGCCTTTCATAACACATCACACTCTAGAATACGCACTTCTTTAGTGCTGGGCCATGAAGAGCTCCACAAAGGCGGGGAGGGGGGACGGTCTGTCCCATGTCTCCCTCCAAGCCAGTGTTTCCCAAAGCATGTTCCCCGGAAATGCCAGTTCTTCAGACTGATGGTTGCCAGAGGGGAGGGGGAGGGGGACGGGGACAGGGGGAGAAAGTGAAGAGATGGAGAAGTACGGATTGGTAGTTACAAGACAGTCATGTGCAGCCTGGGAAAGAGAGTCCATCATATTGTAAGAACTACGTGTGGTACCAGGTGGGGACGGGAGATACCAGGGGGATCACTTTGTACAGTATACGATTGTCTAGCCACTATGCTGTGCCCCTGAAACGAATACAAACTAATCTTGAGTGAAAGAGAAGGAAATGCCAGCTCTTGGGCCCTGCCCAGACCTGCTGAACCACACGCACACCGGGGCCCAGCGACCTGTTTTACACAAGCTCTCCAGAAATCCCAGTCCTGTTCAGGTCTGAGAACCGCTGCTCCAACCCAAAACCGCACTGGTGTTTGCTGAACCAATGAGGGATCCAGCTACGTGACAAGGACTCTCTCTTTTTAGCCATCGGCGTTATGCCAAACCCAGCGTGTGGTGTCAGCCAGCCTCTTATGCATCCCGCTCCGCCCCGCACACGCTTCCGGCCTCTGACCTGAGCTGAAGGCCCACTGCGCGCCCTGAAAGACCCAGCGCCCAGCGGGTGCCTACTGTGTCCCCTGCTCCCAGTGCACATAGATCCCCTCCCGTAAGTAGAACCGCCCTACCCCACCCCCCCAGGTCCCCTGATTCTGGAAAAGAATCCAGCTTTCGACCCTGTCACTAGGCACCTGGCTAGGGAAGTGGCTCAGACGTGCTTACGCGGGCGGGATGTGTCTGCGGTCAGTCCTGCAGTTCGGGAGGGAGGGGCAGCACCACGGAAGGTCCCCAGCTCGGGCATTTTATATGTGGGGAGGCCAAGGTCCAGGGAGGTTCGGTGATTTCTCCGAGGGCAACAGCCTGTCGGTGCCCATCAGATCGCTGTCCTGGCTTCCAGCTCATGATGCTGATTCTGGGGTCCCTAGGCCAGGGGTCTCCACGGCGCCCTGGGGTCCCTAGGCCAGGGGTCTCCACGGCGCCCTGGGGTCCCTAGGCCAGGGGTCTCCACGGCGCCCTGGGGTCCTCGGGGAAGGCAGGCCAGCAGGGCCAGGGAGCGGGCTTGTCTGAGAATCTAGAAATGTCAGGACGGGTGCGGGCGACACAGTAGCTGCTGCTGGT